GGGCCTCCAGAGCACGGCACGCCTCCTACCTCCGCCTCCTGCCGCTCGCCATGTTCCTGGCTCAGCTGGGCCTCCAATCCGCGACACGCCTCCTCCTGGCTGAGCAGCACCATCTCGCGCCCACACAACGCCTCCTCCGCTGCCTCGGCCAGATGCCTCTGGCTGCCGCACTCCTGCTTCCAGCTGGCCAGCTCACCCTGTAAGGTTTCCACTTACCTCTTGCCCATCTATAATTCTAAGGGTCTTTTTTCCCCGTGTCATGCTCTGATTGCTGATGTCCCAGGGGAAAAATGAACCGATTAAAGAGGAAATATACTCTCCTTGGTTCTGATAAAAAAATGGAGATTCCTGCAAGAACAAAACAATGGAAAAAAAGGTTAGTGATTCACTTCATCCTAGCAGACTAATAAACTGCAGATGTGATTCTGTACTAGGATTAGGTTACAGTCCATAACTTTGGCTCCGTTTTAGGTGTTCATGCTAACTCTCTGACATTTGCTTCCTTCAACTTGTTTCAAGGCAGGGATAATGAAGGCAAAAATTTGTTTGAATTTTTAAAAAATGGGGTTGTAATGAGGTACTTAGACCAACAGCTCCTGTGTTCTGCAAGGTAAAGTTACTGATTTGGTTTTGGTCAATGGATTCTGCTGGCTTTGATCAGATACATCTGATGAATGTCTGTAACAGCTTCCGTTCCCACCCCCCCCCCCCCCCCCGGTACACATACACATAAATGACAGATCTGTGAAGCACAGCACTGGGAAGAACTTAAATATAAGACTAACGAAGGGGCAAACAGGAGGCAGCTTGTGAGTGATTAACAAGAGGGCAGGAATGACAGGTAAGACAAACAGGCACAAGGTGTGGCTTTTTTAGGCTCGAGCCAGGGAGGAAAGGGAAGGACCAGGCAGACACAGTGGGAGGGGCGTAACATGGCGATTGGCCTAAACATTAGTTTTCTTAAATAAGTAACAGTTAGGTGCTATTTTTATACAAGTTCCATCAAGGTATAAGTCTGTTGCTGGCATCATTTATTATTATATTGTGATAATTATCAGTATCGTTTCATTCGAAAAAGTTATCATGATAAAATATTTTGCCATATCGCCCAGTTCTATCCCTAATAATCCCACTTCTAAAAATTTAAACTGTCCCTGAGTTAGAAAATGGTTTAGAAATCTCTCCAAGGTACTAAAAATGATTTTTCAACATTATATGGCATTGGGTTCTTGAATTGTATTTATAAACTTTACTCACAGCATGACTGCTAGTTCATGATTTAATGTAAATATTATGGATATTGCTATATTTCCTGCTGTCTTTTGTGAATGTATAATTATTTGTTATTACTCTGCTCCACAGATGCTGCTGTATGCCACCATCCAGGGCCGAGATGTCAGACAGAGCAAAATCTAAATCAGAGTGAGGTGAAATGCATACGGTATGCAGAGTGGACAAACAGAAGCCAGTTAAACGGGATAACAGACTCCTCTTCATTTCTCGTTTTTTTCATGTGTTCCGCACCTTATTCTAATAAGAGAAGAAACAAGATGGACAGTTAAATAGGGTAACAGACTGTTACTTTGGGTCTTTATTTCTCTTCTTTCCTTCTTCTTCTGGACTGCCGGCTCATGTTCAAACTTTGATGACTGAAAGCCAAATAAGTAACAAGTTTAACTGCGTTATTATAAGATACTGTATTTTATAACCATCACACATAGATGGAAACATTTTTATATGTTTCAAAACAGAATTAAAGAAATTTCTTAATTGATTATCCATTAGTCTGTGGTAATATATGGTAGTTATATGGTAATATATTCAAGGCAAGTGAAGTAGGTCTTTACCGTCGTGTTTAACCATACACAGTTAGTGCAGTATGCAGTTAAAAATTAAACAGACCACGGTGCTTCATATATTGACACAAGACTAACATATAACAACCTAACAACGTAGAGAGCATAGTGTGCTATTGGTGCAATCACTGCAGGACAGTGCAAAAAGACAGGACAACTGACAGTGACGGGGACACTGTGGCCAGCAGGTTAGCCCACCCAGTGGTCTGTGTGGATCCCCATGCCCCAGTGCAGTGACGGGGACACTGTGGCCAGCAGGTTAGCCCATCCAGTGGTCTGTGTGGATCCCCATGCCCCAGTGTAGTGACGGGGACACTGTGGCCAGCAGGTTAGCCCATCCAGTATGCCCCAGTGCAGTGATGGGGGGCTGCTGTAAAAATGGTGCCATGCTTTGGATGAAATGGAAAACCTAAGTCTCGACTCTCTGAGGTCATCCCTGGGCATCTTTTGAAAGGGTAGGTCAGGTACCCTGATGCCCTGGCTGAATTGCCCATTGTGGCCCTTTCAAATCTGGCCTCCTAGTGATCCCAGTATCTAACTGGTGAATTCTCTCCTGCACCTTCACCACCTTAGCTACTGTGTGGTGAGCGTACTGGTGCAGAATGGCTGCTGTCGCTACACAGTGGTGGTGCTTGAAGTGGCTCCCCATTGCTTCTGTAAAGTGCTTTGGGTGTTATGACAAAGTGCTATATATATTTTCATTCATTCGTCTAAGCCAGGGGTGGCCAATCTTATCCGCAAAGGGCCGGCGTGTATACGGGTTTTCGCTGCAACTCCCTAATTAGATTACTAATTAGAGGACTGATTGGCTGAAGAGTACTCACACCTGGGTTTGAACAGCTGACCTGCAGGTTATTCGAAAAACCTGCATACACACCCGCCCTTTACGAATAAATTTGGCCACCCCTGGTCTAAGCCTATTCCAAAGAATATCTAATTTCTAAGATTGTAAAATACTGCCATCTCGTGGTCATAACTGATAATATCACCCCAAAGAACAGTAATCAACCCTTACTACTGTCATTAATTGTCAATACTTCTCTAAGAACCGAATTCTGTTTCTATGTCATACTCTAAAAATTGACATGAAAAAAAAAAAACCTTTTAGTATCCAGACTGTCACGTTCGGTGGGGAGGCGAGCAAGGAAGCAGGCGAGTAGCAGCCAGGAGTTAGGGAAACGGGGTTTATTCGGAGACAGACGGACAGGTACAGTACGGACATCGACGGACACTACAATGACAAGTCTGGGGAAGACTGACTCAGACGAGGACTAAATACACAAGACAAGCTAGACTTAACAGGACACAGGCGATCACAATTAGGGCTGAACACGAGGTAACGAGGTGGGCGTGGCACACATCGGGAGCGGACGGAGCGGGGCGTGACACAGACGAAAAACGCACCAGCTCACCTTCAAGCCCGCTGGGTATGTACAACGTGCAACATCCGTTTTCTCTCTGGATAACTGTTGAGTTGCTTGAATCCTGCTGTATTTTTGGGAAATTTATCCGGGTTGAGTTAATGATGGGCAAAGAGAAAAGTGTGCACAGGCATATCTTAAAAAAGAGTTTTGCTTAAAAAGATTATATTTTTATATTAAATAGTATGAATTCTAAGTGTTGTCTTTTTTTTTTTTTATATAAAAAAGCAATTGTATTCAAAATGTAATGAGGACTGAATACAGATACAGTCCTGATACAACGCGTGATATTGTTCCCAAGTTCAATACACTTCTGATCGCATTTGCATTTGCGCGATATTCAGTCGGAGAGACACGCGCGTATTAGCGAGAAACGAGCCTAATTACACAAAAAAACAGCCATTCGAGTCAACATTTGCGATTTATGAAGGAATCGTTATTTTGAACAGGTTCATTTTAGTGAAGTCGTCCAAGCAGTTTGCAAATCTAAGAGGATCGAACTTTTTGTATCCGCACATTGCACTGGTAAAAGATTAAAAAAATCTAAAAAATAATTGAAAAATTATTAAATAAAAACACAGCAATCTTTTATTAATTGACTTACATTAGCGTTTTGTAAACCGCCGGCAGCCATGTTGCCATATATTTGTGCTCAGTGCATGTCCTGCCTCATGGTGACCTCTTCACTAATGTGGCCAAGACGAAGCTTCATAAACCATTTGCTGCATTTGATAACCCCACTAGGTGGTGCGAGGTCATGAGAATGGGAATCTTGGATAATACAACTACACCAGCAGTGCTTGCTCATTATTTGCTAATGCAGAATGATTGTACTGGTGATTGATAGAACTGCTGAAAATAAGTAGAATGGAAATCTTGCATGATCCTACACCCCGAGTACTACCTGTGGCTCTAAAACACCCTGACAATGCACAAGGAACATATGTGAAAACCACCAAATTACGAACTTCCTGATGTTCTATTTGAGATGTGCACTGCCTGGGAATCGAACCCAGGTCACAAGAATGGGAACCTTGCATGATACCACTACACCAGCAGTGCTTGCCCATTATTTGATAATGCGGAATGATTGTACTGGTGATTGATAGAACTGCTTAAAATATGTAGAATGGAAGTCTTGCATGATCCTACACCAGCATTGCTTGCTCACTGTTTGCTAACAAGGAATGCTTCTACTGGTCATTGACTGAACTGGTGAAAATAAGTTGAAAGGGAAACTTGCATGATCATACTCCCTGAGGCTCTAAATCACCCTGACAATGCCCATGGAACAAATGTGAAACCCAGCAAATATCCTACTTCCAGATGTTATATGTAAGATATGCACTGCCCGGGAATCGAGCCCAGGTCACAAGAATGGGAACCTTGCATGATACCACTACACCAGCAGTGCTTGCTCAGCATTTGCTAACGTGGAATGCTTGTACTGGTCATTGATAGAACTGCTGCAAATAAGTAGAATGG